ATAATTGCAAATTTGATAAGCAAGCATTGGGACATTGAGATCAAAGGTATTGAATGAAAATGAGAGTTTGAGGCTCCTAAAAACTCATACCTTACCTTTCATATTGCAGGGAACCTTGGTGTTTATAAGAAATTAGGATGCATTGATATAGACATCGTTAAACAACTTTCATGATCTCCATTAACCACAAATGTCAACTGTAGTGATATGAAATATGATTTTAATGCAAGGTATTATGATAAAATTTTAAAATGTTAGATTCTAAGCATAGAACTAAAATTGGGTGAGAATACATGTCATCTTGAAATTGAGCTATAAATTTTCCTCGGAATTTTTAAACAATTATTTTGCATTTTTAGCATATTCCCACAAGATCATCCTTTTGATAGAATATAATTTAATTTGTTCAAATGTGGATTGCATTATGATTCTTTTAGTCGTAGGAGAAAATGCGAAATATATTGAATAAAATAATTTTGACTGGCAAGAAAATCTTTCTTTAATGATTTTTAGGTTGATATTGAAATATAATGTAAGATTCACAATTTATTAGTTGAATTGAAATTTTTTTTTTTCCTGAAAGGTAATGCTTCAAATTTGTGGAGAATAAACAATTATATTTTATAGTTTCTATAACTATGTGACGCTTATTTTTTTAAACTATAAGTTTGGATGCGCTGAAAAAGATTATATAAATTAAGAAGTTGTATTCTTTCTTTTCCCCTTTTGAATAAATGATCAAGAGTTTATTGGCAATTACTAAGTTTTTTAAATCATAAAGAAGAGTTTATTGTTTGTTGTTCATATGCTTTCCTCTCCTGAAAAAATAATACTTGAAACTATTGAAAATTTGATATATCTTCAATACTTAAATTATTCTCGAACTTATTTGCTGTCAAGATTTCTAAACAACTTTTATTATTTGTTGTTCATAATCTATTTTTTACTAATGATTTTTTAACAGATGACATGAGTTATATTTCAAATTCTCGTTGTCTATGATTACCCTAGAATGCCTTCTCTGGCATGCCTGAGATTCGAAAGTCTTCAAAGATTATCGCATTTTATAATAACAATCATGATGATTATCCAATTTGAGAGCTCTTTCTTATGAACAAGTTTCAAACAGTCATCTTCCTTCAAACTTTCTAACCCTAACTTTTTCTTCTTTTTTATAATCACATTTGCAATGATTGATGCACCAAATTCATCCGAGTTGCACCCAAAATCTTAATTTCCAAACTTGCATAAGCCAGAAGTAAGAGCACATTGTCCCATCTGCTTTTATCCCGCTCATGCTTCTCCAAACTTGGACTGCACCGCATATTTAAGACTCACTTGAAGAACAACAAGTGAAATAAAACGAGGCATCTTCTTTTGAAGCACTTTCATCATATTGAGAAGGACTTTTTCTAAATCAAACTTTGGAGAAGCGACACCATTGCTCCTCTTTGTGAGCATTCATTTTGATCGAAAACATTTTGCTAAAGACATCTGTTGATTCAAGACAATGTAGGCTTATGGATTGGCTTTCAAAGCTAACTTGATGTCCTTTTATTACAACGAGCAATAGAGGAGCAAGAAGATAGTCATGATGCTGAGTACAAGGCATCCCATCTAATCGGAAGCAAGAAAAAGAAGAAAGGGAAGCGTAAAGGCTCAGACATGCTTTCAACTTTGTTCCAACAAAAGTTTTTTTCTTGCAGCGCTTTTTCTTTTGGGGTGTTTGATAGCTTATTTTTAATAACATTTAGCCATGAATTTAACTTAAATCAAGCCAAACATAAAATAATAATAATAATAATAAATCCAATGCTATGTTGAGTCGAATTTTTTCACATTTAGTCTTATTTTCTATCATTTCGTCTCTTTTATGACACAAATCCAGATTTAATAAATTCAATTATGAGGTAGATTAAGGATTTGTTTCACCGTCATTTGCGAGCTCCATCTTTACCGTACATATTTATAGATTTACTTGATTTGATAAATCCTATTTAATGTAAATCATATTTAATGTAAATTCAGGTTACAGCCAAATACCTCCATTGTAAATTTACTTTTTTTTTTAATTTTTATTCAGGTTCTACATAAGTTGTAGAGGGTTATAATGTCTCCAAGTTTCTCAAAGAAAGAGATGTAACAATTAATTACTTTGGAAGATGATTATTTGCTGCATAGAAAGTAGATTGAAAAGCATGCTTAGGTTTATTTTGCTTTGATGATTGAAAATAATAAAAAAAAGACATAGTCTTAGCTAAAGTTTCATTTCATTTCAACTATATTCTCTTTTCCGAAGAATTATGGTACTTACATCTCGAGTTATTGTTTTTCGTCTACACTACGGAGCTTCGATGGGTTTAAATCAAGGCATAGTTGATATGTTTATCTATGATTGATATTATTTATTTATTTTTATTTCCATTTTGTTTTATGTTTTTGATGGGGATTAGAGTCATAATCTTACCTTCATGGTATCCTGATGCCATTTTTATCTCTTTTGATCCTTTTTCTTTCTTGCTAATATATGGCTTCATGAGGATTAGGTTTTTAAGGGCTTTTGGCAGCAAAACGCATTTTTTATATAATTTTGTTAATTGATTGAAAGAGCCAACACCTATTTAAAGGCTAGCCACAACTCTACTCCCGGTAAGTTTTCCAGTCCTAAGCCTACTCAACTTGATAAGTTTAAGTGGCCCAGAGCAAGGGGATCTTTTCAATTGACCTATAGATCAAGAAAAATTATGAGAATGATTCTCACTTGGTTAAGCATAAAAAAATTTGATGTAATTACCAAAAAGTCTGGGCAAGCACAAATCATAATAGATCGATGAATCCCTCTTCTTTAACAAGTTTGACAAAACATAGAGCACAGACCAAGAGAAGTTATCCCAAAATTTGTACAAAGCCCGAGGTTAAATTATGGGAGTTTTATCTTTAATGAGTCGGTCAGATCACTAAGTAATGTACCAACAACTCTTCATCATGGACCTAATACAAGTCTAAAGGCTAAGTCGATAATGTCGATCCCACTCTCCCCTTGTGAACAAAGAATAAAAATCCCAAATCCTTATGGCTTCTACATCTCCATATGCCCCACATTTTTTCTCTTCCATCCATTTCCTCAATTCCCTTAAATCATCCTCGAAATTTCAAATTTATAAACCAGTTCATCCTCTAAAATCTCTCAATCATCTGCTAAAATTTCTTAACAAACCCTTCAAAAATCATGCATTATTTATCAAGTCTATTAAAACATAAAGGTAAGAAAGTTTTAAGTTTGAAATCAATCGAAAGAAGCTATCATCATCAAGTCCATCAAACACAAAGAGTCGCCTGGTGACAACTTTCACTTAATATGCTGTTGAAAGCTAGCCGAAGAAATTCAATCAATTTCTTTGCATGGAGCAAACTTTTCTATCAAAATCAAGTGTAATGCTTCAACCTAACATCAATCAAAGATTGGTTTATAATGACAGACTTGTATATACAGTCTGAATTTTATATCGAATCAACATCTGTAAATTTTGTCCGAGTCCCACAAAAGTTAACTTTTAGAGTGACATCCAAATATATCCTGTTGTGCCGTACAGAGATGGTTAGTTATATTTTTCTTATTCAAAATTTTTTTTCCCGTTTTTCTGCCATCTATTATCATCCCTCTCCTCTTCTTTGTTTGTTTTTCTCTTTTTTTATCACTCAAATATCAGTCGACATGGAGAAGAAACTAGAAAAGCTGCAAGAGGTCTCTGCTTGCGGCCCAGCGCAGATAAGAGATTGGATGCTTGCAGTTAACAAATGGACATGGAAGCTACAAGATGTCATTGATGAGGCAGTTATTTTTGCTTGCTGAGTTCGAGTACATGAATCGTATAGAGCAGCTGGCCATTATTAAGCAGGAAACAATGATTGGCGAACGTGCTCTCAATCCTGATTCAGACTTGAAGAAATTGGAGGAAGTTTGTTCAAAAGCTTTATAAAGGTTCAGCTGAGGTGAGTACTTATGCTTCATATTTTAGAAAACACCAAAACATGAAGCAGAGACAAAAATTCAAAGAAGAAAAGAAAAATTTAGGAAATAGAGTCCTTTTTCAAGCTGCCCAAACTTAAGACGAAGAAAATTAAGTTTTAGAGTTTATGCCTGAATATTAACTTATTGTCGTGAAGATAAATGACAAGCATAGAAGGCTTGGGGGCCATCTCTTCTTTAACATTCATTTTAAATTGCTATTGTAGTTCTTAAAAGAATCAAGTTCTAAAAGATGAATTTGATCTTAAAATGTGGGTTTGTTTTTCCAATAACTTGGCGCCAAAGAAGTCATAGCACATATGTTTTTGTTTATTTTTTTTAAGCATTTTTCTGTTATTCTTTATCGGACAATTGCTTTTTTTTTTTCAATTGAATTATTTTAGCCCATTTAATATTAAATATGATTAATTTATATTCCAAACAATAAAGCTATATGTCATTAAGATAGTATTGGTATGTTGTGGCTGCATTTTTTTTTTCAGGAACCATTGTCTAGTTTTTTTATTAAGTGTTGGAAATTATTTCAGTTGCTTGATGAACTATAGGTTTTGAGTCGTGGGTAATTATTATTACCATTGCTAATAACTAAATTGAAGGAGCATATTACTCATGGTTAAGCAAATCTTTACACTTAAACTTTGTACTTATGTGTCAACTTATCCATACATAATAATGTTTATTTCACTTTCAAAATTTTAATGATATTTTCAACTTAGTCATAGCACATAAAGTATGGAGTTTTCTATAATTAGAAGCTTCCTTATTTCCAATATTTTTATCCTGATATATATCCATTTTAGCTGAATATTTAGATTAGAAATATGTATTATTAATTTACCTAAAATATATTATATGCACTTTATTTTGTACCTAAAATAGATTGCAAGATTGTTATTTAATGGAATGAAAGCAAAGGGAAAAGACGATCGAACCTATTCAAAATTCAGCCTATTTTTCTCAAAACTTTGACATGGTATCAGAGCCAAATTTTTTCCCTAACCACCGGTAGTTGTTGGAGGACCTTCAAGACTCCCTTCCCGTCGGCCTTCTTGCGGAAAGGGAGAAATTATTTCTTTTCCTTGATTCGTCCATCATCTGACAAGCCCTCGCAAGGGAAGCAGACACGACACTCTCTGCATGAACGCTCCCTGAGTCGGTTGAAACCTTCCTGTCTGGGGAGCCCTGTTCGCAGCCTTTGATTGCACCATGGTTTATGCACGTCAGAAAGAGGATCCATGGAACTCTATCATCGCTGGAGCTGCTACCAGTGGCTTTCTATCTATGCGTCAGGGTCCCGCCTCCGCAGGAAGAGCAACGATTTTCGGTGTGATCCTTCTTGCGCTCTTTGAGGGTGCAAGTATCATGCTCAACAGAGTTCTCAGCATGCCACAGAACCTCCCTCCTATGGATGATCCCAATCTCGCGACAATGATGGCAGTTGGTGGAGGAGCCGAAGTCCCGCCCGGTTTCCTGCCACTGGGGGTTGGGCCATCAACTATGCCACCTGCTGTGATGACAAATGATGTCGGTGCTGCTTCTTCACCATCCTCTTCTTGGTTTGGTGGTTTATTTGGTGGTGGAAAGAAGCATACGAAAGTAGCAATGATTCTTGGGTTGAAAAGGGCCGTTATGTTTGTATTACTATTCGTCTGATTCAAACCTTCTTCGCTAGGCATCACTGCTTCTGTGGCATTTCCGATTGCTTCTTACGCTTCGCTTCGTCCGCTTAAGCTTCGGCGTCGACACTCCTTATATCGATAGCTTCGGCTTCGGCTTCGGCTTCGACAAACAATAGATCTTAGGCTTGGGCACTCTTGGGCTTCGACGCCTCAGGTTTCGTCCTTTCGAGCTTCGACATTTTCAGGCTTAGACACTTTTGGGCTTCGACACTGTTGGGCTTCGGCAGTTTTTGGCTTTGACATTGTTGGGCTTCGGTAGTTTTGGGCTTTGACATTGTTGGGCTTCGACACTTTCAGGCTTTGATACTCTCGGGCTTTGGCACTTTTGGGCTTCAACACTTTTGGGCTTCGACATTTTTAAGCTTTGACATTTTTAAGTTTCGGCACTTTTTTGGACTTTGGCTCTCTTGTGCTTCGACACTTTCAGGCTTTAGCCTTTCGGGCTTCTGCATTTTCGGGCTTCGGCACATTCGGGCTTCAAACTTAGACACTTTTGGGCTTCGACACTTTTGGGTTTCGACATTTTTAGGCTTCGACACTCTGAGACTTCAGCACTCTCGGGCTTCGACACTCTTGGGCTTCGGCATTTTCAGGCTTCGTAATTCTGAGACTTCGACATTCTTAAGCTTTGACGCTTTCAGGCTTCTGCACTCTCAGATTTCAGCATTTTCAGGCTTCGATACTCACAGTTTGAGAATTTTTTGTACCAACAATGTTATCAGCTTCTTATTGGCAAATTGATGTTTCCTGATCAATCAACATCAATTTGAGGGGGGGATGTCAATCCGGAATGATGAAAATCAGACAACTAAATTAAGAGTTTTCTATAATTAGAAGCTTTTTTATTTCCAATATCCTTATTTTGATATATTTCCCTTTTAGCTGAATATTTAAATTAGGAATATGTGTTATTAAGTTACATAAAATAGATTATATGTACTTTATTTTGTACATAAAATATATTGTAAGATTGTTATTTAATGGAATGAAAACAAACGGAAAAGGCGATCCAACCTATTCAAAATTCTACTTATTTTTCTTAAAATTTTGACAATATTAAATATGTAAGTACATAGAATTCACAGTTGCTTAATAACATACATACATATTTGCTTTATTTATTTGATTAGATGTTAATAATCTTAAGTAATACTTACTTATCACTTCATATATTGTAACTAAGAAAATTATTTTTGATTCTTTTTTTTTTTTTGGCTTATGAAAGTAAATATAATCAATTCTATTTAATCAACTGAAATTACAAATAACATTAATTTGTTTGAATTAATGTTGTCTTAACTGATTAATATTAACAATTCAAATCTAAATTAGCCTAACTTTTCTATCTTCCCCAAATTAGCCTAAGTTTTTATGAGCACATGTAAATGAAGATCTGAAACAAAATTTAATAATATAAAATATATGCATTAGATTGATGTAATATACTTCTGTCAAGGCAGTTGCTCCCTCAAATGTATGCCACCCCATACCCAAGCCCATCATCTTTCTGGCAAACAAATATAAACTTCATTCTAATTTTGTGAGCTTTTTCAACTAGTTGAAGTGCATATTTTTTTGTTGCCTCTACTTACTATGAACCTAATAAGAACATTGTGGTAAACTATTGGTCCTCATTTACTAATAAAACAGAACATTGGTCGTCAAAATCATAAAACATTAAGATACATTGCTAGGGAAGTTAAAAAGCTTTCAGGATATTCATTTGCAGCAAAAGTTATAGGTCGTGGTATGGATTTTAGAAGTAGACATTCTATACAAATAACGAGTATTGAGCCAGAATATGAATAAGATTTTGTACATTCTATGATTGAGTCATACATTCTTTTCATCACATCTACAAAATTGTTTCGCATTTAGTAGTATATTGTCACGGGATTATCGGTTTGATAAAGATGATTTAGTTCGAATTTAGATTGCATTGGGTTTCTTTGATTCACGGTTTGAAGAGCTTATTTTGATCAGATGATGTTTGATGAACATTTGAGTTTTTCAACGTTGTCGGAATTGAGCAATTTTGGGCTCGTTGGATTTGTCTTGCTGAGACGCTCGATTCGTCAGATTCAACATCTGTTTGACACTCTAAATGTGTCTGAAAATTTTCAAAAAGTGGTTTAATGACTAGATCTGAGCTTGACTTGACTCAACTTAGACTAATTTTTATCATTGGGTCTGTCTCATCGAGTCGGTCTAAATTTACCGTTGTCTCGGCCAATTTAGAGCAAAACTATGCCAAAATATTCTTTTGATAATTTCTTCAACAACTGCACAACAAAATTTACCGTTGTCTCGGCCAATGAGATCTCTTTCATACATGAATCATCTTTCACTAATTTATGTAGAACTCCTTATTTATGTTTTCTAAAAGATGAAGGAAAATATTAACCTTAACTGAATGGTTATCAAGTTTCTGCACCCCCTCCTCCGATCTCTTCAATTTTCTAATTTCAAAATTTTGATGTTAGGTTGAATTTAAGTTAATTCCATGACTAAATTCTATTAAAATATACAGCCAAACATCCTATAAAGCTGATTTTTTTGTATTTTTATTTAGTTTTTGGAAGATGTAAGTACATCCCACTCCATTCATCCTTTTTAACATATCTTTCTCTCAATTCCGCCTTTAATAAAAAAACTCGACGAAAAAATGATGCACAATAGTCGTGTTGGAAGGTGCCGGTTTGATAATGAGGCAGAGCTTCTTTTTCTACAATGGAATGACCACAAAACACGAAGTGTGAGGGGAGATGCTGACGGCGATGAAGACCCAGAAGCAAGGGAAGACAATGATTGCAGTTGATAAAGTTCATCGAGAAGAGGAAGTGCTTGCAATCGACAATAACCTTCTTTTCTATTGCCGTAGAAAATTGTTATCAGACATGAACGTTTGTTGAATCTTTATACACCCTTTTACAATTTATTTTAATTTTTGAAATAACATTGATATGTGAAATTTGATTTTACAATGATTGAATGTAAATTTATGTTTAATTTTAAATAAAATATTCTTTTTTATAGATAAGTTAAGTTGTGTACAATTAACTTAAATTTATTTGCTATTCAATTAATTTTAAATTTTTAAATAAAAATCAGTATAAATATTAAAATTATGATAATATTTAAAAAAAATAGAGAATTAAATAAATTTTTTTAATACAACTATTAGGTTTAAAAACTATAAATTTTTTGTATTTAAATAATAGTATTTATTTTAATAATCATAAATTTATATCACTGTTTTTTTTATAAGTTAATATTAAAAGAACTTTCGCGAAAGAGAAATGTAAAATTTTCTCTCGTCTTCCTCCACCGTCCGCTCCATCTCGAAACCCTCGACAAAAATTTACATTGGGGGTCTTGCTTTTCGTCCGATTGGATTTGTCTTCCTATTTTTTTTTTGCTTGTAGATGGACAAATGATGCTTTACTTTGTTCGGAAGCCTCTCGCACCTCACTCTGGATGGCACACTCGGCGTCCGTACCGTCGGTGTGCAACCGGGTAAAGTGTGTAAGCTTCCTTTGGCCTCTTGCTGAAAACATTGCAGAACTGTTTTGATGCTGCCGAAACCGCAGCTGCAGCAGCAAATGACAGTTTGTTTCCTTGCATGATAGATAAAAAGCTCTTCAATGGTTGCCCTTTTTGCGGTGCAAGCTAATAAAATTGGTGAGAGATAACATTGGGTAGAAAGCTTTGAGCTGTTAAGAAGGCACTAGCAATTGTTATACTATATCTTTCCAAACATCCCATCCTTTCCTCAGGCGGATGACGATATGCTCAATTGTTTTATATTGTCGTATGGCTTAAGCTTTTCAAGTCCCGTCTCATGTTACTTGGGATTGAAAAGTGTTTATGAAATATTTTCAAATCCAAATGTTGGAAATCAAGGAGATTGATGTGCTTGTTTCATTTCCAGTTGAGGGAGGCACAACGCACAACAGTGTTTTTTTTACTAGTTAGCTTATCTCTTTTGGAGCTGAACTTTATAACGTTCAAACCTGTACAGGATATCTTGTTCTCCTTGTGAAACTTCTATTCCCTTAAAAATACATGCACAGAAAAGGTTCCACAGCTCCTTATGCCATGCTATTGCTAAACATCTCCACCATTTTGGCGCTATTTGAGGTTGAAGAGCTTAAATCATTGTAGTGCACAAACATCCCCACTTCTCTTCTATCAAGTATTTTAAAAAGTGTTGTTTTATGACCCAAATTTTGTTGGGCTTGGGTTGAAAGGTCTGCAATGCGACATATGTGTTGTAACCTAAATTATGGTTGAATTTTTTGGGGTGATTTATGGTGGTTGCAAAGGGTTTGCGTTGATGACTTGTAGAGTTGTAGTGGCATGGGAGTGGTAGCCCCCTTCGGTATGTACCCTTACTATTTGAGGCGCACTAGCATGCATGGTCTTTTGGGGGAATTGGTGGTGGTTGCGGAGGGATTTGGTTGATATCCTGCAGTGGCGTGGGATTGGCAGCCCACTTCAGTAATGATCCATTATTATTCTCTTACTCACTTTTCTCCATTAACTGCTTTGATCTTTTTAATATAGTGAATTCTCTCTTGATTGTTTCCCTTTTAGGGTTTTACACGTAAATTTGTTTGTTATTCTCTCTGCTTCTTTTGCTTTCGAATGCTTCAACTTTTTATCAACAAGTATTCTAGTGTTTGTGCCTCTTTTTAGTTCAGCGGCTACCTGATTCTAGGGTTGGTTTTCTGAGAAGGGCATGATGAATAATATAACCGTTTGCCCTGCTTTTCTATATGTACAAGTTTTGTCTTAAGTGCTTTTGGCAACCGTGCTTCTCTGCTATATGGTTCTTCTGCCTTCTTAGGATGGCAGATTATTTGTCTCTTTATGCTTTACTCTTAGCTCTGATATTTTTAAGGAGGATGTGCATGCATACCACAAAGTTCTTATGTATTTACATATTTAACTTCTAAACTTGGTTATTTTCACTTTCTTTATATTTGGTTTAAATCTTTTATTTGCTTTTGTCAAATTCTATTTTTAGAGGGTTATGATGAGTCATAGGAGTAGTTATTTTGGATGGCCTTTCTCATATGCTTTTCTACATACACATATTTGATTCAAGTGTACTTGGGAAACAAGATCCCCAGCATTATGGGTCCTCTGGCTTCGTTTGATGGTAGATTATTCATCTACTTATGTTTACTCTGAATCATGAGTTTTTATTTTTATATAAACTCTGGTTGAATCTTTTGGTATATTTGTCAAATTCCTTTTTTATTATGTTGGAAATTCAGATTTTAGCTTGTGGGAAGCAAAGCTGAGAACTTTTTTGTAGCGTCCTAGTTCTGGGATAGGTTTTAAACAGAAAGAATCCCAATTTAGAAAAATGTTCTTTATACACAGATTGGTCGAATTAATGCACTTCGAGAGACTGTTTTTTTTTTATTGCCTTTCTTGTCTGTTATTTTTCTTTGTCCTGTTTTGGGGTTGCTGCCCTAATAGTTCTTATTGGAGGGTTATATATATATATATATATATATATATATATATATATATTTATTTCTAGATAGCGTATGTAGACACACAGAAAGCGTTCTTAATCTTGGGACTGTCTGTGTAGGCAAGGAAAGCCTTGAGAGCTGTATCAGAGTTGCTATAGATAGATTGATTTGAAGTTTTCCAAATAATCTTTTGTGGTTTATCTCACATCTCTGTTCTTCTGCATTATTCAGTTCCTGTTATCATCACTCTTGCAATCTTTCTGTTTATTTCTTCAGACTGCTTAATTCTTTTCAAATTTTGCTATATATGTATATTTGTGTGCATGTGTGTATTCACGCATGCGCGTGCATGAGTATGTGCACGTGCGTGCACATGTGTGTGTGGATGTCATTTGTGAGGAGGATAAAAGTAATTGGGAGAATTTTGGTAGCAACTTGCTCCATCAAAGGATGGAAACACAAAAGCCTTGTTATTCCCATGGAATTTATATCAAGCTGCTTTGCTTTTGGCATGTTACAAAGGTTTAACAACTTGAGGCAGGGAAGCTGCCCAAAAGATGGAAAACTTTCCCACTCCTAGCACCCGTTCAGACTGATGTACTCCAAATTGGTGATAAAATCTGCATTGTACATCCATTTTGGAGAGCTTACAGTCTTGTATGAAAATATGGACAAACTCTTTAGATTTTTGTATGGTTTAAGATTTTCAAGCACATTCACATCTAAGTCAGAATTGACAATGTTCCGTAGGCTTCCAATTCCCATGTATGATTTCCTTTCATGAACAGTTCTGCACCAATTCAAGAATACATCTGTGAGTTTTCTCTTCTAAAATAATTTTGCAATGCAGGCCTCTCTGGTATCCTTCACATTTTCCAGAAAATGTATTTTTAATTTGTGCAACTCGCTCATATGTTCCAACTCCCCAATTCTATGACCATTCTCATTCTTCACATTAAACTCATTTAGTTCTTGAAGGGACCTTAATTTCCCAATTTCAGTTGCACTTTAAAATGTATTCGAGGGAAATTCCAAGCGACGCGGATTAGAAAGATTACTCACATCGCCAGACAAGAAATCATCAGTGCAAGATCCCCCAGCCACATTTTTATAGATTATGAACCGCAAATGATAAAGGCTGCTTAATGATCTTGGCATTTTAGTGAGATTTACAGTAAGATTCAAATATCGAAGATGTTTCAAATTTTTAATAGTTTGAAACATTTTTTTTCTGATATGGAGATTGTATGAACAACAAACGAAAGCTTCTTGATGCTTTTAAAATTTCAGTAAGTATTTCAGTAAACCTTGATCATTTCTTCCACTGAAAAAAAAAGAATGTAGGTTTTTAACATCTTTGATGATTCTCAATACTTCTGGGTTTCCAGTTTTGACAAATAAGTGTTGAATAGTTTTAGGAAATTTAAAAGATAAGACATTATCTCCCACAAATCGGAAACATTCCTCTGAAGAAATAGATTGCCAAGTCACGTAATAAATCATTCATCTTATAATATATTTTCTCTCCCTGAAACTCATCAAAAAAGGATTTTCTGACCAAAACAGTAAAATACCTTCCTCCAATATCTTCCAAAGTCTCTTCAATTGAAGATTCCTGAATGAAACCCAATGCCATCCACATTCGGACTAAACGATCTCTATCAAATGGCTGATCTTGTGTGCCAAAAAAATACAAAACAATTTTGTAGAGGTTGTGGGAGGAACGTAAAACTCAATCTTAAGATAGACATAATGTTATTGCGAACACCAATACTATTTAAAATGTTCTTTCAAAAGCTCTCATTAAAGTTAGAATTGAGAACACCACCAATGACCTTTGCTTCCAATGGACATCCTGAAAGCTTTTTAACTATCATACTAGCAATGTCTGTTAATTTTTTATGAGCACCAAAGTTCTCCACACTAGCAAATGTAGGGGTGTTGAGTAGCTTCAAACACACATCTTTCTTCAGGCCCTTTAATATCAAAATTTCTTTCTTCTTTCTAATCACATTTGCAATCGACCGATGAGATTATTTTTAGGCAAGCATCCTGTTTCACGATCTTTGATCAACTGAAGCTCCGGCTTCTGCTGCTTCTGCTTTGAGTTTTCAATGAGATGAAGGAAAGTACTGACCTCAGCAGAAACTCTATAAGTTTCTTCATAACCTTCTCCAGTCTCTTCGAATTGTGATCCAGCTTGGGAGCACATTTGCCAATTTTTTTTAAAGAACTCATGGTGGGACGCACCTTTTGGGGCTTCTTGTTTCTGGTAAGCTGTTCTTTATGCTTCATGTACTCAAAATCATCAAGAACATCATCTGCCATATCCATGGCATCTCGTAGCTGCCATATCCAGCTGTTTAATGCTGGGATTCGATCCCTGATCTGTGCTTGGGTGGAAGCAGAGACGACAGCTTGTACCTTGGGATGGTTTTCTCGCAGCCTTTCGAGCTCCTCCTTTTGTTCGTCTGCCATCTAATTTGATCTTGCAGGTAATCAGAGCAAGTGTTGATGATCTTAACCATGATTTTGCCAACAACCCAGTCTGCCATGGCACAGATCAAGTTTAAGAGGAGGAGAGACGGCGGAGAGAGAAAGAGAAGAAGAGGGTCAAGAGGACGGAAGTGGGTGGCTTTGTTTGGAAGCCTCTAGCACCTCCCTGTGGATGGCACACTTGGCGTCCCTTACCATCAGTTTGCAACCGGGTAAAGTGTATAAACTTCCTTTGGCTTCTTGCTGAAAACATTGCAGAACTGTTTTGATGCTGCGCAAACCGCAGCAGCAGCACATGACAGTTTGTTTCCTTGCATGATTAAAAAAAAGCTGTTCAAATTTACAATGGTTGCCCTTTTTTCCGCCTAAGCAAATAAAATTGGTGAGAGATAGCATTGCGTGGAAAGCTTTGAACTGGTAAAAAAGCACTAGCAATTACTATAGTATTTCTTTCCAAACATCCCATCCTTTCCTCTAGCTGATGACATTATACTCTATTGTTTTATATTGTTGTATGGTTTAAGCTTTTCAAGTGCCTTCTCATCTTAATTGGGATTGAAAGTGTTTATGAAATCTTTCCAAATCCAAATGTTCGAAATCAAGGAGATTGATGTGCTTGTTTCATTTGAGGCACAACAGTGTTTCTTTTACAAGTTAGCTTATCTCTTTTGGAGCTGAACTTTATAAGGTTCAAACCTTTACAGGATATTTTGTTCTCCTTGTGAAACTTCTATTCCCTTTAAAATACATGCACAGAAAAGGTTCAACAGCTCCTTAATCCATGCTATTGCAAAAATCCCCACCTTTTTGGCGCTATTAGAGGTTGAAAAACTTGAATCATTGTAGTGCACAAACATCCCACCTCACTTCCATCAAGTATCTTAAAAAGTGTTACTTTGTGACCCAAATTTTGTTGGGCTTGGGTTGAAAGGTCTGCAATGCAACATACATGATGTAACCTAAATTACGGTTAAATTTTTTGGGGTGATTTATAGTGGTTGCAGAGGGTTTGCGTTGATGACTTGTAGAGTTGTAGTGGTGTGGGAGTGGCAGCCCCCTTTGGTACGGACCTTTACTTTTTGAGGCGCACCAGCATGGGGGGAATTGGTGGTGGTTGAGGAGGGATTTGGTTGATAACTTGCAGTGGCGTGGGATGGGCAGCCCACTGCAATAATTGTCCATTATTATTCTTTGACTCTGTGTGTGTGTGTGCAGGCAATTTTTCACTTATAGAGAGTTGCCACTTTTCAAAATTTACTTCTTTTGTTTTTTTTTTTAATTTTGTTGATTCTCTCTTGATTGTTTCCCTTTTAGGGTTTTCAACACAAAAGTTTTTGTTATTCTCTCTGCTTCTTTTACAATCCAATGCTTCAATTTGTATCAACAAGTATTCTAGTGTTTGTGCCTCTTTTTCAGTTCAGTGACTACCTTATTCTTGTATTGATTTTTTGAGAAGACTATGCTGAATAATATGGCCATAGGGGTTCTCCTGGATGGCCTTTCTTTTGCCATGCTTTTCTACATATACAAGTTTGGTCTTAAGAGCTTTTGGCAACCCTGATCCCCTGCTATATGGTTCTTCTGCCATCTTTTGATGGCATGCTAATTTTTTCTTCATGTTTACTCCAAGCCCTAGTATTTTTAATGGTGATGTACATACATGCCACAGAAGTCTTATTTATTTACGTATCTAACTTCTATGCTTGATTGTTTTCATTTACTTAATATTTGATTCGAATCTTTTTTTTGGTGATTGTCAAATTCTATTTCTATATGCTTATGACTAGTCATATGACCTAGTTATTCTTCTGGATAGCCTTTCTTATATGCTTTTCTACATTCTCAACTCTGGTGTCCTGGGAACCAAGAACCCCTGCACTATGGGTTTCCTGCTATCCGTTGATTGTAGATTATTGATTTCATTATGCTTACCTGAATCTTTATTTTTCTTAAATTTTTTTTTTAAGAAGAACTTTGGTTGAATTTTTTGATATATCTGTCAAATTGGTTTTTTAATATGTTGTTAATTCAGGCTTTAGCTTTTATCCTTTTTCATTTGATATTGTTTTCTGAGCCAACGTTGTGTGTCGGAAGAAAAGCTGTGAACTTTTTGGTAGCCTCCTAGTTCACGGACAGCTTTTTAACAAAATGAATACCATTTTAGAATAAAGGTTTTTATAAATAGTTTTGTTCAAAATAAATGCCAGTATGAACGAGAAATTAGGTTTGTTTGTTTATTATGTAAGAAAAAATGCTAGATTTAACATCTTTTGCTGAAACAATTGTTCTGTTTTTGTTGTGGTTATTTTAGTCTGTTATTTTATTGTTGTTTTTTGAGGTTGTTATTGTACTAGGAATCGTTAGAAGAGGGTTATATATATGTATCGAGCCCTGTCTGATATAGGGATGAAAAAAGTGTGGAGAATGCATTCTTTGTATTGGGGCTGCTTGTAGAGGCAAGGAAAGCCTTAAGAGCTGTATATTAGCTACTATTGATTTGTAATAGATAGAGTTTGATTTTCAAGTTTTCTATATTTTGTGGTTGATCTTACACTCATTTCTTATGTATCATTCAATTCGTGTTATCACCATTTTTGCAATCTTTCTGTTTATTTCTCGGGAATCCTTACTTCTTATCAATTTCTTAACGGTACTATATATGTATAGTTATGTATTCATATACATCCACTCACACATTTATATAAAAGCAATTAGGAGAATGTGCTTCCCACTTGGCTTATGAAAGTTTAAGTAGAAAATTTTGGTATGGATGGATTCAGCTGCAATGATGATTGCAAATCTGACTAGAAAGAGGGATGAAATGTTGAAAGCCCAAAAAGGCTAATATATTAACTATAAAGAAAGATACAGATACAATGTGATGGAGGGCCCAAACATGACACCCTGCTCACAACTAAACCACAAGGGGTTCCACAACAAGAAAATACTGAAAAGTACATTAGAGACAAAGAAAAATCCTAAAAATACAAAAATACATAGTATCAGGTGGCTAGAGAGCAACCTAATTTGGTTTTTCCTGTCTCTGGTTCTAAGAAAGGAGCAAGCTAATAAGTTAGTAAGATGATTGTCATTGTCAGTAGTAACCAATATATCATCCAATATGTTCCCGAGCTGGAGTCGACCTCTTTTCTTCTTCTTCCTCCTGGAATAGACCTGTCATTCCTTTTCTGAAGATTGACTCACCTGATTTTGGTCTAAAGTTTGTTGGAGATGTGTAAATTGTTGGAAATTAGAAGCAACTACATGTTGTACCGGCTGATCTGTTATTGGATCAAAGGAGTCCTCTAGTGTGTCTTGGCATGTGAGCGAGTATTCTTCAATAATAATGGGTGGTATAAGCACAATTGGATATGTAGTTGTAGTATTCTTCTTCAGGAACTACGGTGTTGGGAATAGGATCGGGTTGCATCTTCTCAGCAGGGATAGTAGGTGACTGTTATTTAGTGATATTCAGCCTTAGATGATGCAAACGATAACAAATAGTAGAGTTGTGACCAAACATACTACAATGAGAGCAATAAGGAGGATGTGGTTCTATTTCAACCTTTTGCTAATACCCGTTATGCATAGTGTCAATTCATATCTCATCCGAAGTTGGTTGAGTGATATTTCTCTCTCAAGTAACATACAAGCTACAAAGGGTCTAGTGACAGCAAATGTAGAATTATCCATCTTTAGAGGCTTATCGTAAGCAGTTGCTAAAGAGTAGAGGATTTCCATGTTGAACAGATGTAATTTTAACCCCAGAAACTTTATCCAAACATGAATGATAGGGGACTCCGCTTTTTGATCAAAACTGACAGTATGATCAAAACTGTTCATAAAACGATTGTGACAGTACACTTCAGAATTTTCATAAATCGATTGTCAATTTTAATAGCTTTTCGAGAGAAAATGTGAGTGTAATCGACATTATGAGATAGCTGAATAAGTATATGTCTACCGTCAAGTAGGTCAATGTTCCAACTGCCCAATACTTTCATAGTATCAAACTCCTTCCTAATGATCTCCAGTTTTGGGTGGCCATAAGTATATATATATATTATGTATGTATGAAAATGAAGGTTATAGTGATATTACTCTGTACATAAAATTGTCTTTTATCTATAATGGGTCATTGAGGTATGGGGATTATGAATCTCTTACAACATGTGTGAAGATTTGAAATAGAAATATTATCATAAGATGTGGGTTTGTTTCTCCAATGACTTCGATCCGAGAAAGGTCATTGCCAATATGTTGGAATGTCTTCAAAAGGAGAGACCTCATTTATGGGCTGCTTGGTAGCCGGTTTTAAGCAAGATCTGAGCTAAATACTGCCAAACAATAAAAAAAGCCTCTGTGGATCCTGGGTCACCGTAAATCCTAAAATGATGCTGATTCGCGATAAATCTGGTATTTACTGAATCTTGTAAATCGGTGGATTTAGTAAATCTAGGACGGGCGAAGAGAGTGTTCAAACTATGGGATTTAGATTTCAAGTTTAGTGTTTCGTCTCCACTACGGAGCTTTGATGAGTGAAAATCAAGGTATTGCTGATATGTTTATCTATGATTGATGTTTTTTATTATTTATTTATTTCCATTTTGTTTTATATTTTTGGTGGGGATTGGAGTCGTTATCTTACCTTCATGATCTTCTGATGCCATTTTTATATCTCTTTTGAACCTTTTTCTTTCCTGCTAATATATGGCTTCTTGCAGAAAAGGTTTTTTAAGGAAGTTTCGCAGCAAAGCTCATTTATTATATAATTTTGTTAAACGATTGAAATATCCAACACCTATTTAAAGGCTAGCCACAATTGTACTCCCAGCAAGTTATCCAGTCCTAAACTTACCCAAATTTTCTACAAAGCCTGAGGCTAAACTATGGGAGTTTTATCTTTAATGAGTCCATCAAATCACTAAGTATAAAATAATGGACCGACAACTCTTCATCATCGACATAATACAAGCCCAAGGACTAGGTCACCAACAAGTATTATTTATCATATCTATTAAAACATAAAGGTAAGACGGAAATTTTAAGTTTGAAATCAATCGGAAGAAGCTATCATCATCAAGTCCGTCAAACACAAAGAGTGGCCTGGTGACAACTTTCCCTAAGCTTAATAAGCTTTTGCAAGCTTTACGAAGAAATTCAATCAATTTCCCTGCATAGAGCAAACTTTTCTATCAAAATCAAGTGTAATGCTTCAACCAAACATCAATCAAAGATTGGTTTATAATGACATAGCTTGTATATACAACCTGAATTTTATATCGTATCAAGATATGTAATTTTTGTCCGAGATCTACAAAAGTTCAAACTCTTGACGTGACATCCAAATATTTCCTGCAGTGCAGATCAGAGATGGTTATTTATATTTTTCTTATTCAAAATTGTTTCTTTTTTTCTGCTATTTATCATCTTCCCGCATTTACATCAATATTTTACCAATTCCTGTGACGTCTCTCCTGTTTTTTTGTTTGTTTTTCTCATTTTTGATCACTCGATATGGAAGCTACAGGATGTCATTCATGAGGCAGTTAATTTTGCTTGCTGAGTTTGATTACATGAACCATATAGAACTGCTGGCCAATATTAAGCAGGAAACAATGGTTGGGGAAGAAATTAGAGGCCATCCCTTCCATCCTCCACCATACATCCATTATGGCAAGCCACTACTACATCAATGGCTCTACGTCAATGCGAGTCAACAGGAAACCACGGTGGAAATGACATCTTTAACGTAAAAACATACTTCATGCATCTTTCATAGCAAAGCCACCTACTTCCCTCATTTTTACTCTCTTCTTCTCTTCCTCTCTTCCACGGTCTCTCCTGCTTCTACCACTATTGGTGCCATGGCAGACTTTGTTTTTGGCCCACTGGGTTGTTGGCCCAATCATGGATAAGTTCATCAGCGCTTGCGCTGATTACCTGCAAGATCAGTACTTCAGATGGCGGACAGGCATGATAATTTCTCTTTATGCTATACGTTTCTTCTGCCTTCGTATGATGGCAGATTGTTTGTCTCTTTATGCTTACTCTTAGCTCTGATATTTTGAAAGAGGGTGTGCATGCGTACCACAAAGTTCTTATGTATTTACATATCTAACTTATAAACTTGTTATTTTCACTTTGCATTTGGTTTAAATCTTTTATTTGTGTTTGTCAAATTCTATTTTTAAAGGGTCACGATGAGTCATATGACCCAAGTGGTTCTTTTGGATGACCTTTCGTATACGCTGTTCTACATGCACAGATTTGATTCACGTGTTCCTGGCAAACATGATCCCAGCATTATGCCTCTACTGCCTTCATTTTATGGTAGATTATTAATCTATGTGTACTCTGAATCATGAGCTTATTTTAATATAAGCTTTGGTTGAATCTTTTGATTTATTTGTCAAATTATTTTTTTACTATGTTGGAAATTCAGGTTTTAGCTTGTGATCTCTTTCATTTGATATAGCTTTCTGAGCCAATGCTGTGTATGGGAAGCAAAGCGGAGAATTCTTTGTAGTCTCCTTAGTTCTGGGATAGCTTTTAAACAGAAGGAATACCATTTTAGAAAAAGGTTCTTTATACACAGATTAGTTGAATTAGTCCACTTCGAGAGAACAATTAGGTCTGTTTGTTTATTATGTAAGCAAATATGTTGGATTAAGATCTTTTGCTGAAAACTACTGTTTTGTTTTTTTTTTTTTTTTTGCCTTTTTTTGTCTGTTATTTTTCTTTGTCCTGTTTAGAAGTTGCTGCACAAGATTTCTTAGAAGAGGGTTATGAATATGTATTGAGCCCTAATTGATATAGGCATGAAAAAAGTGCGGAGAAAGAGTTCTTTATCATGGGACTGTCTGTGTAGGCAAGAAAAGCCTTTAGAGCTGTATCAGAGTTGCCATTGTTTTCTAATAGATAGATTGATTTGAAAGTTTTCCAAATAATCTTTTTGTGGTTTATCTTACGTCTCTGTTTTTCTGCATTATTCAATTCCTGTTATCATCATTCTTGAAGTTTTTCTGTTTGATGCCATTTTTTAAGGAGGATAAAAGCAATTGGGAGAATTCTGGAAGCAACTTGGATGGATTTAGTTGAATGAATAATTGTGAGTATGATTAGAAATAAGAACAAAACGTTGACATTTGTTGATGTGGCATATTCTCACAAGATGATCGGTTTGATAAGAATGATTCAGTGCAGAGAAATGTTTCAAATTTGCGGAGAATGAAAAGTTGTCTTTTAGAGTTCCTGAAACTACGACATTTATTTGTTGAAACTGCAAATTTGAAACTATTAAAAAAGACTATAAGAGTTAAAAATTTGCATTCACTTTTTTAAACTTGTTCGAGAAATGATAAAGTTTATTGATGTACTTACTGAAATATTTATGACATCAAGAAGCCTTTGTTTGTTCATATGCTCTCCACGCTTGGAAATCATACATTTCTACTACTTATAAAAGAAAGCAGCGGGGCACGAAAACACACACAGCCCCACTTCTGACCCTTTTTGTCGTAACACTCAAAGTCACAATATATTAACCATCAAAATATTATTTTTAACTGTCAATCCCCGAAACACAAAACCCTGATCCTTGAGGGCAAACCACCTTTCCCATAAGTTTTAACCTTTTTTCAAAAGGTGTATTTGCATACATACCACCCAATTCATATGTATTTACATATCTAATACCATAACATTACTTTTTTACATTTATACATATCACATAACAAAACACACCATTTTAACTTTAAAATGGTGAAATACACCTTTTCATGCGTAAGGTGCTATGTACTTAAAAATTGAAGTTTAGGTGCTAGATATGCAAATACATAGGAATGCAAATACATAGGAACAAATACATAGGAATTAGTGGCATGTATGTAAATTTTCCTTTTCAATGTGCATTAGCTTCCAACATTCCATTGGCGCAATCACTCCATTTGTAAACTATATGTTATACGCTGGTCCATGGTCTTAGTTTGTATTTTTGTATTTTATATTCTGCAATTTTTCGGGCTTTCTTGAAATCACTTTTATTTTTATTTTAAAAATATTTTTGTTTAGTATTTTTTAAAAATTTATTTTTTATTTTTAAAAATAAATTTACATAATTTTAAAATTGGTGAGAAGTTTTTTTTGAGCGAAAATTGGTGTAGAAGTTTTTTTAGCGTTTTGAAAACAATCATTGTTTATTTTAACTTATTAAATATATTTTGATTCAAATAAAAATTAATAAAATAAAAACAATTAGTCTTTTATGTACTTTTTATCCACCCTTACACTTTTTTTTTTCAGATTTTTTTTTGCCATAAAATATTTAGAAAATTCTATGCTTAGAACCAATTGAGGCGAAGAATTAATGCACGAAGCGCTCTTGAGCACAAATACTTAAAGGATCTTGACATGATACCATAACTATTTTACTTTCATTTTGATTCAAATAAAAATATAAATAAAAATTAATAAAATAAAAACAATTAGTCTTTTATTTTGATTCAAATAAAAATTAATAAAATAAAAACAATTAGTCTTTTATGTACTTTTTATCCACCCTTACACTTTTTTTTTCAGATTTTTTTTGCCATAAAATATTTAGAAAATTCTATGCTTAGAACCAATTGAGGCGAAGAATTAATGCACGAAGCGCTCTTGAGCACAAATACTTAAAGGATCTTGACATGATACCATAACTATTTTACTTTCCTTTTTCGATATATAATTCTCAATCAATGTATTAAATGATATAGAACTCTCGGAATATATATCTATATATATATATAAAAAAGCCCAGACTCTTGGAATATATATAATTGTGCCAATTATATATATAAAAGCAATTGGGAGAATGTGCTTGGCTTATGAAAGTTATAAGTGGTATGATTTTGGTATGGATGGATTCAGTTGCAAGGATGATTG